ATAATAATAATGCAATAAAGTGTAATAGAAAAGGAGTAGTGTTCCCTTTCTGTGTATAAATAACTGTTGTGATGGGTCATGTGAATGTTCCCTCTGATAGACCTTCAGCACCATGGACAGAGTCTTTTTAATAATTGTTATGTAATGTAAATATATCGTCTACAATCATGGCAGAAACTGCATGTTGATGTCCTGTATTATAGTATAGCATTGCTTTTATTATTCTGTAAGTGTATTGTGATTTTTGCTCACAGATCCAACCAAAGAAAATCAAACTATGGATGGTTCAGACAGAAAAAACATAATCTATGTCTTTCCAGACTCTTATAACAAGTGTTATGAAAACTAGAATAAATGTATTAACACATGTTAAGTGTATGTGACCATGATTTGTATGGATGCTTGAGTTAAAATTAAAAAAAACATGTTTGGGATAAAGTTAAAGTGACCATAAAAAATGTGACTTTAGACCACAAAATTTAAATCATTTGAATAAATTCCCTCCGGCCGTTCTTGAGATATTGAGAAAGTGAGATTTACACAGATGGACACAGATGGAAACCATTTGGGTCATAAATAAAGCTGATCTTTTGTTAAAGGCAGCTAAGTAACGTCATAACATAGCCATAATCTAATGATAATGCCAGGCTTTAAAATGATTGTCAGGCTGGTCAGAGGAGGGGGCCACATGTTCGTGTGCTGATGGTTTATATATGTGTGAACTTTGTGTGATGGAAATAGCTAACTGATTTAAATTGACAGGGAATGTGATTGTTTCCTGTGTTGAAATTTTGTATTGGGGGGAAAAGGTCCTATATTATTATATTTACAGATGCTTACAATGTAGGACTCCACTCAACTCCCAAAAGTTTCCACTGACTGAGTTGATTCGCTGCCTTTTTAAAATGTCAATATTGAAATTGATCTTATGTGCAGCCTACACAGCTGGCATGGGGCTATCTCTGTATGCGGTGAGAATTTGTTCCTGAAGCATCATTTGAACAAATAACTCAGAGTGACTCACACTCTCTCTCCAACAGTGAGCTGTTGGCTATTACAGTGGCACCAATGAGGCAAATCCCAACACATCCCCAAAGCCGTCAAAAGGCATTAGCTCATGGTCCCTGGTTCATGGAAGGGGCCATACTGTACAGATGTCCCTTATGGGCTACCATCTAACAGGCCGCATCCCAATGAAAGGAGCCTAAATAACAGCCAAAAGCACTGATACATTCTATTCACACTTGGCTGCATTTGAGGATTTGTTGTAGTCATAACTATGTAGTTAATGTGACCACCAAAGGCAAGATCCACCTATAAAATATAAAACAAAACATGTTATGCCCCTGTTTTGCCTAACAGCACTTTGACGTGAGAGACAAAGAGAACAGACCCTAACCCTAAGGAGTGGGGAACAGCATGTGGTGGGTGTGTTAGTGTTCTTGTATGTGTGCACGACCCACAGCCAGTGAAGGAGCTGCTGTGTCACAACCAAAACGTCTCTTAACCATTACACTAATAACTGCAATGGCACATTATCACAAGGTGGCTATGTTGTGTGTTCCAAGCATGAAACTGTCCTGCGTTACTGCAGCTGTAAGTCACTTTGCATGTGGAATTATGCAATCACGTGATAGATGGTATTGAATATTCATGTGTACATTTCTATGTCTGAACACATGTGGGTGACGATGCATTCTATAAAAAGAGGTGTGGAGTTGTGGTGTACAGTCAGACGGAAACACTCTGGGGTTTTCTATTAATAGCCCAGCCTCTAGGTAAGAAGGTACAGAAAAATCCACTTTAAACCCTCTGCAGTTCAGGCTGGTTGGACTTTTAGATGTAAAATAATAGATTTGAAAAGACTGAACTATGAATTAGAATTTTTCATATTTCCTTCAGTTAACAGCCTCCAACCTCTTTCCATGTCACAATGTAGATACATACTTTTTGCACACCCCACTCGTCTTTTGCCACCAATTTTTCTATCAATTTTTTTCAGTATTTCAAACACAACCCTACCAAAAGTTTACATCATCCTCCATCTTCAGCCACACTTCTACCTTTCAACTTTTTTTTTACATTTCTCTCACATCCATCCCCTCTTAGCAGCTTTCTTTCACCTCTGCATATCCCTCAATCTGTCCCACAAGTCTGTCACAGAATCCTTTTCTCACTTTCTCCTTTGCGTCTCTCTCCTGTGGTGCACAAACGATATTTCTTCTTATCTCTGTACTCCTCTTTTACATCCTTAGGTTTCTCTCAAAATTGATGAAAACCCTTTTTTTTTATTCCTCACTCCAGGTTTGTTGTGTTTCAGCAGTATTTACCTCACTCTTTACTCTATACTCCCCTCTCTGTGACCTTCTTAATTCTCTCCTCTTGTTTTTTTTCTATGTGCTCCACATGCCTTCTTATCTTTTGTACAAGGCTTAAATATCACTCTGGGTGACAAAGACCCACCCTCGACACTGACAAAGGGTCTCATTACACAAAGGGCAAACAGAGCCAGCTGCATTCAGCATTCTGTGTTCTTGTTCTCTCTTTAAGAAGAACATACAGCCACACAAGCACAGATATATGCTCCAAACAATGCACACAAAATATAGAGCCTTCATGGAAATCAAATCAGACAGTTAATGGTGTCTTACATAGTGATGTTTCCTATTTTGCTGCAACAGGCACAGAAACATGCACTGACAGCAAATGCACACGTGCATAAGAGACACACATCACTGAAAGATGTGCACATTGACAAAAGACAAAACTGCCCAAAACAGCAGTTAAAACTCAACCCAACCAGCATAAATAACCATATTCAGATATGTTCATCCACAAAGCTGCAATACATTTGTATCAATGTGACTCAGAAGTGGCAGATATATACTAACACGAGCCCCTGTGTGGAAGGAAGTAGGGGGCATTGATCAAAGCTGCCTAATAGCCAGGTTCAACACTGCTGTTCCTGTGGTGAGCCGAAGGCTGGCTCAGTCCTCATTACAGCCTCCAATGGGAGGCAGAGACAGGAAGTTCTGACAGGAAGGACAAGGATATGAATCCTCTGGATCTGTGCATCTCCATAAATCAGCAGTACACACAAAACACGTCATGTCCTCTGGAAAAAGGCCAAAGACACATATGCATGCAGACACACAAACAAGCACTTGGAAGTATTGACACATATGTGTAGAAACTATAATAGTCACATGGATGCATCACTGCACATGAACATATAACATATACAGGTGACGTCCACATTCCCACTCACACACACATAAGCACAAGTGTAAACCTATTCCATTTTAGCTTCCATGTCTGGCTGTAGTAAACATTGTTATGTCTAAGTCTGCTGAAAACAAATCCCCTCCACATTAAAACAAGAGCTGGACAGGAAGTCGATCAACTGCTCCATTTTCACAAACCTTCACTTGAATATTAACTCTGATTTCCATCATTTAACTCACACTGATCTATTTAAAACTGCTGGGAGGATTGTCATTCCCAGTTCAGCTGAAACCTCCTTACTGAGTTGCACTGCTACAAATTAATTCTCCATTAAAAGAAGACTGCTTTATGGAGAACCAGACAACAACTTATTTAGTTTCTACTAGTTTAACAGCTTTGTCTGACTTACATCAGTTAATGCAATATATGTAAATGGATGCTACCTTGAAAAATTGTAGAGGTATCTTAATTATGTTCCTAAACCACTTCAAAAGTTATAGTTTTGGACCAAAAAATTCTAGCACCCTACGCCATAACACTACTTTGGCTTTGATACACATGTTATATTTGATGTTATATTATAATTATTCTTCAGTCAGTACCTGAAGCTCGTTATCTTAGATAGGGTTATGTATCACATCAGAAAAGGAGCAAACTGCTCCACTGCATATCACGAGTTTGAAGAATCCAAAACAGAATCATCTTCAAATTGCTTTTAACACCAAAAAGACATTCTGAAGAACCTACTGCCTTTTGAGAGGGAGCAGGTGGCCCTCTTGAAATCGAGAGCCTATACTGAATATGAATTACTTAACACTTAGAATGGCATGAAAGCACTTGATACTGTGCCCGCATCTCATTTCTGTTCTTAGCAACTGTCCCCTTGTTGCTGAATTGTGCAGTCAACAAGCTCCCAACTGCTTGTGTCTTGCATCAATCATTGTGGAATCATACCAGAATCTCAATAATGAGGCATGAACAAAACACAAAGGATTTAAAGGAGGACTCACCTATGTTGCAGAAGCAGCAAGGCAGGAATCATCGCAGAACATGGAAAGTAAAATCAACGAAAACAGAAAATTACGATTTGAAATGTTAAAAGTAATTCTCAGGAGACACAGCAGGATGTAAACTGTTGATGCGTAACAGCGAAGGTGAGTTAACATGACAACAACATAGCCCTCGGAAGTTTTGTCTAGAGGAAGTTGTAAAGAGACAGGCAGCTAGTGAGGAAACCCGCGTTAATTGGACACAGAAGAAGACAGAGTGACACCTCACACCTGGATGCAAAGAAACTAGAGCACGACTACAGTGTTAACACATACACTTGGACAGAAGAGAAACAGAGAAGGTGGGATTTCATGTGGTGAAGATGCCTAGGGGTGTCGCTAAAGAGAGAAAGACTCCGTGATTGGTTAGTTGTAGCACACCTGTCAACAGCAACTCGGTTAATCGTGAGAACATCCCGGCAGTGAATCGTGGGGAACCAAAGCTAAAGGTCAAGCCAATGCAAAACCCCAGTTGGTCATCACTTGAGTCCATGCGTACGTTAGTCACTCAGAAACACACCATATTAAACACGCCAAAAAGCCCCAGCCAAGACAAACGTGTCCATGCAAGGGACAATAAATAAGGGTCTAATCATCTACCTAATCTCTAATGAATTTCAAAAATCTAAACTACTCAAGCTGGATAGAAAGATCATGCATGATGTATTTTTCTTTTAGTTACTCTATCTTTAACTTCTAGGTTGTCCTGGGTTGACTGCAACCAACCTTCAATGGTGGGGGCAGGTGGAGGGACCACAGCTGGCTCCTCCATGGGGTCAGCAAAGCTGGGAAAGAAGGGCTTAGCTGCAGGGTTAAGACCAGATCCTGGAACTCCCAGAGGGTTGACCGGTGGAGGGGAAGAGGGGCTGCCGACAGGAGATGCCTGCAGAGGGAGCTTCTTCGCTCCTGGCGAGGTGGGACTCTTCACTGAGGATGAGGATGATGAAGAACGAGACTTCTTGGATTGTTTTTGGGATGATGTTTCATCTTTCGGCTCTTTCTGTTGGAATTCCTGTGCTGTGGTTTTGGGGGAGCGGAGAGGTGCTGGGCTTAGGGTGTTAAAGGACAAGCCTAAGCGCAGAGGAGGACCTGAAGTGCTCATATCACTGAAGTCAAAAATCTCACTGTTGCTGCTAATCTGCGAGTCGTTCAGGACCCATGACGCATCTGACGGTGAAAGAGGTGGAGCTGAGGCCAACACCTCACCCTTGGGAAAAACCCCAGGACTTGACTCCGAGGCAGGGCTGAAGGCCGAGGTGTCTCCCTCAGGCATGACTTGCACACAAGACTCCTGGAGGGAACTGGTGTTGCCAAACATCCCGCTGTCAACCATGTCACTCACTTCAAGGTCTGGAGAGAAAGATGGAGAAAAGGCCTGGCTGTCGTTGCCCAAACTGGCATTCTCAGTTTCCATCAAGAGATCAACTTCATCACCAAAGTGAGGAGACATGGGAGAGGAACCAAGTGTTGCATTGTTGGCAGTTGAGGGCATGGTGAACGGAGCTGCTGTGGCTTTGAGCTCGCTGTTCAGGACCAGTGGACCAACGGGAGCACCTGTCAGGGAGAACAGGTCTTCGGACAGGGGGGCAGGAACCAGACCTTCATCTGGGTAGACCTCTTTTTTCCAGGGACTGTGGCTGGTGTCCACTTCTGTAAATGAGGCCTCCAGGTTTGCTGGGGCTACACTCCCTAAATCCATCATCACCTCCTCTGTGACCTGAGAAGTTGCTGCAGACAAAGGAACAAATGGTTCTGCCACCACTCCCCACTCCTCTGGAAGCTTCTTCCTGCTCTTCCCCTTCTTTCCTCGGCCTCCACTCTTCCCAATCTGCTCCTCCCAGCCGCCCTCTCCTCTCTCCCGCCTTGGGCCAATTCTCTGGAAGAACTCCTCTGTTGGGGGAGTGTTTTCTCCCAGTGCTTGCATCTCAGGGTGACCCCTGCTCTCCAGGTTTTCGTAAGATCCCTCGTCTTTCTGTCGCCTTTTCTTCTTCTTTTTCTGTTTTCGGTCCGACCCCTCTCCATCCCTTTCATCACCTCCTGCATAGGCAGTGCTCTCTCTGCTAGGCCAACTGTCGGGTGGGTCATCAGGGCTGGCTGCAAGATGGCTTGCATGGCGACTGATCATCGTATTTACGCTGGGAGAGAAAGGGAGGTCTGAAGACAGGCAGCCAGCCTGGTCAACCCAGCTGTCGCCTAAGGCACCTTGTTGTGGGTGAAGAGGGGAGAGTTTAAAGTTGGGGGGGGGGTTGATTGAGCATATGAATTGGTTCCCTTAGTCTAGATCAAACAGAAAGTAACTGTAACAAAAGTAACTAAACATTCGTATAAAATAACGTAAACAGTGTCATCTAGTATGGTGTCCACATAACATGGACACAGAGACAAACAAAAATACTGCTTCATGGAAGAAAGGAGGTCAATTAGGCAACAATGCTGCAACTAAAACAGTGTTTTTGGTTTAAGGACATTACATCACAAAGCTTAGGTCTGAAGGCCAGCAATGGCAAACAGCAGATGTCAGGGTGAATTTATTCTAAATGGAAGAAGGTAATCAAGGGAGAAGAGGCAGATGACAGGGAAACAATTGGAGGAAAAATGGCCCTCTGTATCAAAGTTGGTTTTATACTTTGGCCCAGTTTGGCCAAACACAAACAAGCACACAGAAACACACACAAGCACACACACATATATACATACAAAGCTAAAGTGGAGCAACTGTCAGACCCCTCACAGAACTGTGGCTCTCAAGAGGGTAATATTTCATTTGAACAAATCCTTGACAGAACAATGCTCGCTTAACGTATACATCCTAGAAGCAGGAAATGCCCAGTGAAAGAGAATCCCTTAAATGTTTTGTCGCAATCTCATTAGGTTTGGGGGAGCAGCAAATATCAGCCATCCTGCTACATGTGCATATTGTGCTGTTACCGCATAATTTCAACAGTAAAACAACTATGAATTAGAAAACAGCACAGGAATAGATTAATATCCTTCTGTGATTACATTAAATTAGATGCTGGACTAAAGCCAGGGTTTTATTTAATCTAGATATTATTATTATCTATCAAATGAGAAATGCAGTTGTTTTAGTTTGAGTCTTGCCAGATAAAACTTTACAATAAAATGCCGGCTGTTCCAAAAAATGAACAGGTGAAAACAGTGCAAGTAATACTCAAATCAGTATAACACTATAGCCCACCATGTAAATACTGATACTGCATATAAATGTTTTGATGGGCAACTTTATGGCCCAAGAATGGGCTGTACATTTTGTTCACAGCTCTTGCATGCAGTCAGATATGCTGCATGTGATAAAGGTGTTTACGATTTCAAAACTATAGAGGTATTTTATTTCAGCACGGTGGTTTTATCCAATCTGCTGATCAGCCACTGGCGATTCGAGAATAACTCTAGAAGTTAAGAAAAGGGATTAAAGATGGATGTCTACAGAGCAGGATTTAAAATATAAGCGAACTTGGCAGCTACTTTTTCTTAGGCTGGGAATTTCATAGACCTAACATGAAATCTATTTATATGATGTCTCCAAATGACACCTGTGAGTGGAAAGCTAAACCAGTGACTGAGGGAAGGTCAAAAATCTATGTCAATTAATTGTTATTGCACTTTGATGGAGATAAATGTAGAATTATCTTAACAGATCAGCACAGGATATTTTCATTCTTCCTGTCGTCTCTGTTTCTGCTCTTATCACTGGTTGTGGAAGCTATTCAGATTATTAATATGCCAAAAAAATGCAATATACTGTAATTATGTTCTTATCAGAGTTACTGTCCTGTTAAACAGTGTAGTACACACACACACACACACACACAAATCAGTTAAAAGGTGTCTCCATTTTCCTTTTTGCCTTCACTGCTTGTTCCAAATTAATTCAAAAAGTTTGTGAATGAATCATCTCTGTCTGCTGCAGAGCAGGTCGAGCTGCGACTCCGTTCTCTCTGCTCAGTTGTTATAATTCAAACCTTGCTGTTGTTTGGTCAATGCAAAAACAAATACAACTCCAGTTCAAACTGCAAATGTGAGCTATGATCAATCCAATTCTCTTTTTTTGCACCATTTTATGGTCATTGTTTTTCATAAAATTAAATTGTATTCGCTTTAGTATTGCATGTTGGCTATTTTGGAGGTGTGTTAAGCAAACCATCACAAAATATCAGACCCAGGTTCTTGACTTCTCTAAATAAATGCTCTGTAATTCAGCTCGATTTAAAGGACAGCAGAACCGGGATGAAGGTCGTCAACGTGTCTATTCGTGCGCTGTCCCACTCCCAATGATGCTAGTGTCCAAATTGCATATGTATGAAACTGAGCTTCCTCCAGTCCATTAAGAAAACACATGCTAAGCCAATAATATAAATATTTCACAAGATACGTGTTCCACATTCAGGCATGACAGACTGACATTTGTGGAATTATTTAGTAGATTCTCTGTGGCTCTGATCTTTTTTACCTGAATGATCAGCCCGTTCAGCAGTTTTCCAAACTCCACTGATCGTGATTAGTTTATGATTATTATTATTATTATAACATACAGTGCACCTACATGGACACATCTATTTTCACTATTCATTATTCTACTCACTAAGTATAATTGGGTTTGTCCTGTAATTTGTCACAAGGCTGCATATTTTTGGACTCAGCTCAGGGTTATGTGGTGCTGAGCGAAAGTCTAACATCCTAGTATTCACCAGAGGAAGATGCAACACCTCTGTGCCTGCATGTAGAAAAAAAAAAAAAAAGCAGGGCAAAAATATCAGAGGGTTCTTCCACCTGCTGTGTAGCAAGGAACCATGGGGGCTGAGCTGCTGTGATGCTTTGTGCGTGGTTCCACTGGCCACACGGGATGCTAGCACAGCTCTACTTGGTGCCACAAGCCACAGCATGGTGACAGCTATGACTTCACGCCAACTAGGCTCAGACATGCATTGAACTGGAGAGGAGCCCTATGGGGGCGAAGGGAGGCCACTGGTGGGTGAGATGCTGGTGAGTGAACATTGAGAGACAAAGACAGCCTCTCTATGTACGTGCACACTCACACACAGCCTCAACACATGTATACAGTATATGTCTTCGAGCTATTACATGATGGCACACCCCCTATATATGTCAGCATCAGATGTGCAATGACCTTGAGCTGAATCCACATTGGAGATGGCGTGTGTGTTGAAGAAGCTATAGAACAGCAAAGACAGACAGCTGATCTGAATACTGCACCCCTCTGTGGAATGAGCCAGGCAGTGCAGCACACTCATGTACCTATATGATCATGTAGATGGTACAATATATAGAAAAAACATCTCTTGATTGTCGCTGATTCAAAGGTTCGCTAGTTGAAGTACCACTGTGAATAATGCTTTGAAATTGGGTCATTATCATTGCAATGATTACTAGTTATTAAATATGATTTAAAATATTTCTGCATATTTCATGTGTCGAGTTGTTGCTCATACTAAAACATTACATTGTAGATAATTTATATATTTCTGATAAAGCTCAAAAAGATTACGTAACAGTTTCCCATAAATTCAATGAAGTAGAGCATGGTTGAAGAAGACCAGTTTACTTTGAACGAGATGCACTTCTGTCTGTGGCATGTGAGCTAATCTGCACGTGTCGTACCTGCTGACAGGTCTGCAGGGCTGCGAGGAACCTGGGGTTCAGGCAGCATGGGGCCGTGCTCTTTAGGGGCCTCTAACCCTGCTGGGGGTGTGGCGTGCTGGGGCTCTGCTATACTTGGGGGCCTGTCTGCTTGGAGAGTTGCAGCTCCTACCTCCACATTGACCCCCATCCCTCCAGGTTGGGTGAAACCTAAGGAACAACAGCAGATTCACTTAGCTTTGCAGTAATGTTACTGTTGTCGAAGGTACATCAAGAATAATGCAATATGTGCAGCCCACTCTTACAGAATAATTTTACTGAGGTGAAGCAAGATGGTGTGTGCATGCAAATAAATATGGTGAACAACAAAACAATATTTATTTATTTTTGAATTAAGGTAAAGACAAAAATTGCATCACCAGCCAAATTTGTTACAATTATATTCAAACGTGCGTATGCTCCTTGAGGCCAAAACTATTTTTAAGTTTCAGTCATGAAAAAGCTGCAAAAAATTGAGCTAAGGAAGCCAAATGCACCTTTTCTCTGAATTTGAAAAAATATATGACTATTGCTAAATAAAAATGTTGAAAACTCAGATGCCACTTTCATGTTAGAGGCCAGTGGTTTAGCTGTTATTACCAGTATGGAGGCAGTTTGAGGAAAATAATGCAAGCTATACCTGAGAAAGCTCCCATCAGGCCAGTATCCATCATTTGGGCAGGGCTGCTCTGAGAGTCCAGAGGATCTAAATAACCCGCCATGGAGGCTGACAGGAGGGAGGCAAAGAACAACGGGTGGGAGGCACGGGGAAAAGAGAAGGACAAGAGGAGTACAAAAGAAAGAGATAGAATTGTCAGAAAAATGGTGGGTCGGGGATGGACAGATGGATGAAGTGGTAAATAGAGGACAAGAAGAGAAGGAATAGATGAGGTGGTGGGCATTAATAATTTAGATTTGGTGGACAAAACAGGAGGGTAAAAAGGCGATCAAGCATTAAAATCAAATGCAGAATGTTTGTTTTTGTTGACGATCCATGTGTAATATTATTCAGTACAGTACTGCACTAAGAGAAAAACAGAACTGTGCATCACTGCTTTACCATGTGATGAATAAATTAAATAAATATACTCTGTTTATACAAATATTACTGTATTTTCATACCTTTTGTCTGTTCCTTGTTTGTATAAAAAAAGTATTTTAAGATGCCAAAGCACCAAAGTTATGCATTCATGGAATCAGTTGTTTAACTTCTCGTAAGGATATTTATTTCATTTCATTTCGTACAAGTGTCGCTCTGTAGTTTTGCTCTCATCCTCCATACCTGATAAGAAATCTGTGGCCGAGGCCTGCTTCTGGTCAAGTGAGAGTGGCCGCACCTCTCCTTGAGGTTCTGGGCGTGACGCTGATATCTGTCCCCCAGAGGTCAGCTTACAACCTGTAGTGACAACAAGGATTATCCAACATGAGTTCCCCCTCCTTACTGGTGACGTGTCACTGTACAACCCCCATTTAATGACACGAGGCTATTAAGTATCACAGTCCGCTGAACACAAAAATGCACAAATAACTCCAAGGCATTAAAACAATTAAAAATCATAGTGGACACAATACGCGTACGAAATACTCACATGGACCTGCACAAAAACATGCACCCGCTCTCTCACCTGACAAATTTCTCCCCAAGAGCAGACATCCGAGTCCCATGCAACTCAACATTCAGTGGTGTTTGCTATGTGCTGCTCTGTGCCTCTGTGACTCTGTCTGACTCTGTCTGTCTCCACTGCAGCCTCAGCTGGCTCTGAGCTACTAACACTGTGAACCCCCAGTCATACGCACTCACACACAATCCAAAACAAAGACACACACACACACACACAGGAATGCAATCACAGTCGGGGAGTCTGGGTTTTGGTATGACGTTTCTCTGTCTGTCTGGTTCAGGTCCCAGGCCCTGCTAGTTAGCGCCTCCCCTTGCAGCCCACTCCCACCCTCACTACTCCTGAAGTCACCTTTCAACTCTTGTGCCAGCCTCCAACCGGAGACCCCTGACTGAGGCTGGACTCCGTGACCTGATCTAATGTGGCTGGAGAAGCGAGAAAATAAAGATGAGGAGGGAAAGGCGGGAGAGGGTCAGGGTGAAGAGGAAGATGGTTGGACAATTTTAGGAAGCAGTTACAGGATAGCAAAGAACAAGAGAAAAGAGGGAAAGAGGATAACAAAATGGGGGAAGTAAGGAGGAAAATAGGGAGGGATGAATCAAGGACAGGAAAGACACAGGAAGAAAGTGAGGCAGAGGAGAGGAGGAAAAGAAGGAGGGAGGCACCAGTGGCAAACCTCTTCCAGCAGCATTCAGAGGGTGACAGTGAGACGAGCAGACAGGACACTACCCAAAGTCACAAACGCTTCCATATATCAGACACACACAGAGGCCATAGTGGGGTGAGCATGTCTGTCTCGACGGCACACAGAAAACACTCTGTCGGCAGGGTCACCGATTGATTCAAAAACACTAATGCAGCAGAGCTCGTCTGTCTGCCTGTCTCTCGCTCTGCTTTGTGAACAAACATTTGGGGACATTAACAGGGGATGTGTTGTGAGGCCAGGACAAACACACCCACATGCACTGAGCGTCTCCTGCTCTTCTTGGTTAAGTCAGTGAAGTGGAAGCTCGGCAGGAAACCAGATTCTCCTGCTGAGCTCTCCCGCTGTCCAAGGTGCTGAAATCAACCTGAGCCGCTTTGAAAAGGGTAGTCAAGGGGAACTGGAATGAAAAACTTAAATATGCATCCATGTTTAAATTTTCAGCCCTAACTAAACCATGTGGATTGACCTGGGTAGTCAACAGTCTTATTTAAAGCTGTGACCAGAGGGTGTTTTATATCAGGGGAGGGAGGTTACACAAGTGCATATCCTCAAAGCTGGGAGCTGTCTGGTAGGTCCCAATCACTCAAAGAAAACATCTCTCGGGCAAAATCAGCAGTCAGATTAGGACACTCCGCTGAGTCAACTGACTAGAGAGTAGATGCCTGATAACGTGGTACTTAAAGGGGAATAAATCTATTTTTCAACCTACATTTATAAATGTGGGTGTGTAAATTAATTTTTGGACTTTTAACCATCACCACCTCCATTTTCCTGCAGTTTGGATTTTACCTCTGACTGTGATGGCTTACTTGTTAGAGCTCATACAAACTAAGGATCTATATAATTACAAACCATTTACTATTTAATAATAAAGAGAGAGACTGAGAGAGGCAACAAACAGAGGAGGGACCAACTGCTGCCCAGTCGAGAGTGAGACTTCTCGTTGAGCAAGATGTTGCCAGACTCTTAGCAAAAAAAAAACAAAATGATATTGTGGACTGTGGCAGTGACCCCATGAGATGGCAGAGTAGCCACTGCTGCTGTGTCACGGCTGACATTTATGTTTGCTGATAAACACCGATAAAAAAAAAAACATTACAAAATATACAGAATAAACTATGCAGATTAATGTTATTAGTGTTGGCATTTCATGTTAAAAATAATTATTCTATTCATTCAAGTTCTATATTTGTGTTTTCCTTTTTATTTATAGTTATTCATGATAAAGTTCATGACTGAATTGTAAAATATCAAGTCTTAATTACATTTCTTTGTCACATTGGTTTGATGATAGACATCCTTATGCATACAGTGCATTGGCCACAATATCGGCATCAGAAATTGTATTACTCCTTAATATCCGAATTCGCCACAGAATTCCATATCAGTCAGAATCTGAACAGTGGTTTCGATCAATTGTTACCTTAACTTATTAGAATGACAAACCCCTCAGACCATAAGGTTCAACAACACCTTGATCAAAGCCCTTGATAGATGGGATTGAAGTTTTTACTTTCATTTTGTTGGAAAATCTGAGATATGGACTGTGAAGTAAGTCAAGACCGAAAAAAGAGAATCATGTTGGATTTATGCTCCACACACTGCACTGTGTTTAATGAACCAGCGCTGAACTGCTCAGCCTGAAAGGAGGAGGAAGACCAACAGCAATGCATCAAAAGGGAGTATGTGTGACCGTGTGTGTAGATTTTGGAACATGTTCCTATAAGAGTCGAGTCACTGTTCAACATTTTACATTTTAATTTGTACATGTATGTACAGTGTTTAACCGTGACAAGACCTGCTCCCTTTACCTGTGAGATCCATGTCCAGTGTGTGTTATGTAAAGCAACAACCAGATTTGCACGTAAACGCAAAGTGCTTGAGATCGAATCTGTTACCAACATTAATGTTTTCCTCTCTTTTGTATGCTTATTACAATACCTCTCAACACTAGTATGGTTTTAAATGTCAAAATCACTTTACTCTAAAGTAAATAAATAATGGCTACAGTTTATGGTGCATAGTGTTGCACCTTTGCGCAATTACTGAATGGATTTTCTTAATGAATACAACAAATAATGTGAAATCTGTAACTTTTGTTTTTTTCTCTCACGCAGTAAAAATTAGGTTGACGTATCAAGCTCCTGCTGTTTATTTGAATCATCCACCGCAACATTGACTGCATTAACTAGCAATGTGTTGTTGATTATGATCTATGGAAGATACAAACATGGTGTGAGACAAACAACAACTGACTGCAATGAGCAAAGGATAACACTGAAATCTGAATGTAAGTGAGGATGTATGAACAATGCTGATGAGAGATTTTTGTTGAGCTGTTACACCAATGATCTGATGAAGAGGACACCAAACATACTTCTGGGTTAAAAATCTAATCCTGTGTTTACTGTGAACTAAATTTCCAAATTACGTAAGAGCTGCTGCTGCTGGGAGGTTGCTGACCTCAGTGTGAGGACGAGGTACTGCAAGACAGACTGGAGCAACTATGAGTCTGACGGATGGACTTTATCATCTCAGAGGCATGTGGGCACATGCACGCACACACACACACACACACACACACACACACACACACACACACACAAAGTACACTCAAAGTACACTCAAAGTACACACTCATACTCAGACAGGAACACACAGGCACACAGACACACACGCATAGAAAATGATGGCAGTCAACTACCACAAAGTCAGACACCAGGCTTAGTGGACAGTTGGCTGACCTGACAAATATGGACAAATATAGCCTAGGATGAACACACACATACAAACACATACTTCTTCTGATGCCAAATCCCCCTCATACATGGACATGTTTAGGAAGTGGCACTGGAACATTGTGAGGTTTGTTCTGAGGACAACAGCAGCAGCTGAAATGTGTAGTTGCACGTACTATTCCTGTGATAGTTTCACCATCTGATTGTCCGGGAGTAAAATCGTCACTCCTTGCTCACCATGTTATTAGATTTCTGAAGGCATTATGACACTGGGACACAAGGCACACATGTCCAGTGCTAGCTAGAGACTTGAATGTGGTTTCGCTCTCTATGTTCACTAAATTTCTTGTTTACAATTGAGGAAATAGCAAAGTTTTCAGCAAACCTTTTTGACCTGGCAGCAACTGAGTCATTCTTTGAAATCACCCAACTCTATGTAGAAGTTTTACTCTTCCATCCATACAATTCTCTCTTTTAAGTTAAATCAATCCATCTATCCACACCAGTTATCACACACAGGCGTAAAGGTGCCCTGGAATTCTGCTGCATGCTAACAGATGCACCAAAGATCAAGAGCAGGGATGTTGTAAAGATCGTACACAACGACAGTCCTGAGAGGTGTCAGGCAACATTAAGAACACATGGGAGGGTATTTATTCGTATATAGAAGCCTTTAATCAACTTTTGGATATTGCTATATAAATAGAAAAATATTTGAAAATATCTATTATCAGTTGTATTCTGATACATTGCATTGGTTGTTTTGCACTAATGCAAATGAATGTGTAGCTACACAATGCAACCACTTGTGGTTTTTGTCCTGCACTCTGCATGGACTTAAGTTTCATGCTGCATGTTAATCCCGCATAGACCCTTTGGTTAGGGTGACAAAATATGTGCAGGCCCATACAGACACGTGGACCCAGGGACCAGGAATTGGTCTTGACACAGAAGCATCAAAGGAGTGACTGTAATCTTCCACTGTTCAGTGAACTGGAGGGACCCAGTGCCCGGACAGGCTCAGGACAATGGGCTTGTGAGAACAAGACACACACACACGCACGCACAAACATATGCACACACACATCTCAGATAAAGGTGATGCAGGTTTATTACTACTAATGTAGTATTTGCAAGGAGCTTAATCCCACCCTCAGTCCACTCTTTTGGAAATCTCTCTGCTTTGCTGTTGCTAATATCTGTGTCTGACCACATGTTAATTACACAACTAGCACAGATACACTGTAAACAAAGCTGCAGGCCAAAAGCCAGATGGATGAAGGTAGTTTTTAAATGTTCATGTTGAGGCTGATGTCAGAAAAAGGCTTCATTTACTCA